AAAATAGAATCAAATTTCAATGGCAAGGTGATAACAGTAACACCCCAATTCTAACTCAAGCAATTTATGCAAATTAAATCAGAGTTATAAAATTTCAATCATACAAATGAATCGGCACGTCACAAATTCTTCTAATAAATTCATCATTCTGTCCAAAATCCAGCATAACTATCAATCACAGGAATTAATTCTAAATATTATATTGGTTACTAGGATTACACGTCTTCATCATCATTTTAATCATCTAGAATAATATTCGTTGCGTTAGCTAATCAACGCTTCGAACGACATCTCAAACAACATCCTACAACTCAAGTTACAGCAACTTAAAACTGATTCTGTCAAAAGAAATTTGACATTATGTATCGACACAAAACTCCTTGGATCTACACATCCTACTTCATTTTCTCACTATGAGTCGACTCATCCTCCTTATGGATCGACTCATTCTGCTTCAAATCACAGCATGTATCGACACATGCACTTACCGATCGACTCATCCTGACTTCAAAACGCAGCATGTATCGACACATGCATCGCACCGGTCGACTCATCCTGAGTCTCACACACTCATGTATCGACACATCCTCTGCATGCATCGACTCATCTTGAGTCTAACAGCCTCCTTGCATCGACTCATCCAGTTTGAGGTCGACGCATCCTGTGATTTTCTGCATAATTTTCTGCGTAGGAGGTAAAGGAGCGTGGGGTCAGGATACACTTACTCCATGTACTGGTCTATTGTAACCCTTACTACCGTTGGCTATGGAGATTTGCATGCAGAAAATACAACGGAGAAGGTTTTCAATATATTTTATATGTTGTTTAACATCGGCCTCACTGCATATATTATCAGAAACATGACAAATTTGGTGGTTCATAGCTCTGTCCGAACCTTTGCCATGGTAAATTTTATGAAGATTTTCATGATAGTTTAATACTTGACTAAGCATTTCATTTGATTACACTAACATCGATATGATAGAAGGATTAAGAATAGGCTAAAATTTATGCAATAAGAAATGCTTATGTGCTTTACAGAGGGATGCCTTCAATAAAATATTACAATATGCGAACAAAAATGGACTCCCGGTAGGATTGAAGGAACAAATGTTGGCATAGAATCTTACCACCCAATGACAGGAAATAAGGACTCGATTGATGATAAATACTGAAATAGAAGATGAATCTAAACGCAGAAGTTTGAAGGCATAGAATTGTTACCGGAGAAGCGAGAAATGGAAAGAAATAGTGTCGGTGCCTTCGTTTGTTGAAAATGACGTTGTAACAACACCACCAAAACGCAACTCTGCCTGCTATGAATGTGAAGAGTCAATGAAGTTTGAGCAACAACACCAAAACGCAAACGCGGCAATGTCGTCTTCCAGTATAGTAACTCTGCCTGCTATGAATGTGAAGAGTCAAGGAAGGTTGGTTTTGTGTGGCCTACTGTTTTGATCTAACGGTTGGAATTAGGGGTTGATGATATGATTGTACGGTGAGGATTTCCGGGTCATTATAGTTTGTGTGATTCTGGGCCATTACCGGGACTTTATAGTTATTACATCGGTGCATTTCTTGGGCCGATGCAAGTTTTTACATTGGTGAATTCATTGGGCCGATGCAAGGTTCTGGCACTGATGTTTTTTACATCGGTTTTCAGGATGGCCCGATGTAAGCTTTTTAATATATTTTTTATATTAACAATCTGCCAAGGACTTTTTACATCAGTTTTCAGAAATACCGATGTAAGCTACTTTTTTACATCGGTTTAAAGGAAGGCCCGATGTAAGCTTTTTAATATATTTTTTATATTACCAATCTGCCAAGGACTTTTTACATCGGTTTTCAGAAGGACCGACGTAAGCTACTTTTTTACATCGGTTTAAAGGATGGCCCGATGTAATATCTGGCCAGTTTTTTATATACAATATTTCTACCACCTGATTTCTTATTTACAAAAATGCCACCGTGTTTTTTTCACGAAACCTTTTACATCGGCTGATTAAATGGACCGATGTAAAAGATAGCGAAAATACTTTTTTCACATTATTTATATCATTGCAAATAAATACCTGATGTAAAATGTTTTTAATTTTATTTTTTACATCATATATTTTGATACCTGATATAAAAACCTTTTCTCAAATGTCATTTTTTTTAGTAGTGGAGGGTCAAAAACACAAGATATAGACTTATGGCTACGTTACTTGATTTTGAAGAAAAGTGGAAATATAGTTTCAAGGCAAAGTACAAGCATGACCTGAGTTGTTAGAGGCTTTTGACAAGTTTCTCATGACTTTTAGATTGTGTGTGATCAGAAGAAAACAAGTGCAAAGCTCAAGAATTGACTTTGTGCATAAAAGCGACTTTTCCAAAATGGCAATGTTGTCTTTCTTCCTAAAATGGTATTAAGCATGGGCAATGCATTGAGTGTTTGGATTAAAGCTTCTAATAGCTGTGCAAACATTTAATTATGGAGTGCCAAACAAGTTTGAGGCCTGAAAAGCAAATATTATGCAGCCTAGGCTTGGATTTGAATTCTTGTTCATCATGGAAATGACCTATAATTCAAGAATGAAATGCCAACTTTATGCCTTCGATTCTCCTTGCTCAAACATGATCTCAATGAGTTCTTGGACATTTTGGAAAGCTTGTAACATCCTATACAACCTCTATGTTAGTCAATTTTGAAAATTCCCCTTGTAACTATGTGAAAAATTTCCATGAAGTTAGGTCAAAATCCTCCCTAAACTAGGACAAAATTTCACTAAGTTTCCAAGTTTCATGAACATGTATTCACAAAATCATAACTTGAAATCAATACATTTCTGAGAGGAGTTGTGTTCAGCAATGTTTTAGATATCATTTATATATACAATTTTCATGTTGAAAGTTTCCTTTGAATCATCTTGCATCATGGTGAAAAATTGGCTCAAAGTTTTGAAAAAATATGAAATTTCCAACACTTAGAAAAATTTCTAAGTTTAGAAATTTTGACTTTTCAAAATGAAATCTTGACTTTTTGATTTCTTGATGAATAAGTTTCATATTTTGACATGTTTTGATGAATTGTGGTCTTTGATACTTGATTTTAACCAAAAAGTCAAAGTTTGACTCTTCAGTGTACAACTAACTTTTGATCAGTTGACTGAAAATCAACTATCAATCAATTGATCTTGAGGGAAGTTTTGAGTCATGCCATTAGGTTAAAATGATTCAATTGAATCCTTTAGATCATGTCTCCAACCAATCAAACATTTTATAGGTCAAAAATCAGAAATTTCCCTTTCTCAATCAAAACCCTAATTTTGACCATTTTGACCCTTTGATTATCTGATCAAATTTCTTGAGGAATTGTAGTCCAAACTTGATCAAATGACATATATGAGTTCACAATGTTGATATGGATCAAAAATTATGAAGTTTGACTGTAAATTGGTCACAGTTGACTTTTTCCCCAATATAGTTGATTTTTAGGTCAACTGATCAATTGACTGAGCAAAAATGTGATCCAAGACTTGAAACTTGACATGAGCCAACTTGAGAGTCCAAAATGATTCATGAAAACTCATATGGGGTATTAAAAGTCCATTTATCCTTGTGCAATCTCAAACCCTAATTTTCAGTCATCAGTGCTTGAGGAGGTGTCTTGAGCTGATCAACCCTAGTGCAGTCTTGAACCAAAGTAGATCTTGTGAGAAATTACTTGATAAATGAGAGGGAAAATTTTGGGGTACAACACTTAAGCTCAAAGAAATGTCTCCTCCAATTGAAATCATAAACAAGGTTCCCACCCACCGATCCCATAGCTTTCCCAAGAGCCCCTCTGGATGATTAGAAATGGTAAAAAAATTATAGGAAACCTAATCTTAATATGGATATTTTCAATCCAATGGTCCTCCCAAAAATAAGGGTGCAAACCTGAACCAATTTCTTTCTAATACCATCCAAAAACCAGTCAGAGGGATCCTTCTCTTTGGACCCAAGGATATACTTTCCTTTCCACCAAGAGGATGAAGACCAAAAACCCAAAGTCTCACCTCTCATTAAAGAAGAAAAAACTAGAATACCATGTCTAGTTGCAAGAATATCACACGAAAGGATGAAAACACTTGAGGTTACTCTCCACTTCTATTTAGCCAAAAGATCCAAGCTAACCAAACGAAGATCTCTTAATCCTAAGCCACATTTACTCTTTGATTTGCACACACGAACCCATTTGATCCAAGAAATCTTAGAATCTTCCTTCACACCTCCCAAAAGGAACCTTCTTCGAATCCTAAATATTTTTCTTTCAAACCTTCATAGGAGTTTTCAAGAAAGAAAAGAAAAAAATACAGATAACATTAAGCACGTAATTGAGAAGAATCACTCTCCCCCGAGCTAACAAACATATACTTCCAAGAATGAAGCCTCTTGTAGATTAGAGAAACTAGCAGATCTCAAGTCACCTAAAAACGAAAGTTAGTCTCTATAGGCAGTCCAAAATACTTGAAAGGAACAAACTCTAGATTACAATACAGAAACTCACCAACTGAATTCAAAATCCACATTAATCTAAATCAAACTATTCTTAAACAAATTGATCTGAAGCTCTGAAATCTTCTAAACCCCCATGAGAATAGTCTAAATAGTTATGATAGATTTTTCATAAAATTATATTTACTTTATATATTTTTTAGAAGTGTACAAAGCTCTTGCCCAAATATAACAAAGAGACATTAATCACCTCCTACTAAGACAATCTAAAGGAGATGCATACCAATCATAGAAATTACAATCTACATGATTATTAAGTATAACTATATTTATCTTTTAAAAAACCCCAACTTTCCATTAATAATAAAAACTAAACACTTATTACAAGAAACTAAACACCCTTATTGCATTTTAAAATATTATATGAAATTAAAAGTCTAGGTTGAGTTTTTTCTTCAATTTTTTTTTGGTCATGGATTTGATCTCTTGTTTTTTTTTCCTTTCACATTCAGTTAAAATCAGACTTTGCTAACGGCACCTCCACCTGCATCATTTTGTTCGTATCCAATCATCATATCCAATTCTTTAGCCTTCACTGGTGTTGCATTTCTATATATCAAATATACCACCATCTGAATTATGCCAAACACAAATCCAAGTGTATTTGGTAGCTGCATCATCAAAAAATACAAACATTAATTTTGTATACTCATCCTTTTTTAATCAAAATATACCTTTGTTTTCAAAAAGAAGAAAATAATGAATTAGTTTATAGCTTACCTTATTCTATATTTAAAGTTTTCTAATTAAATCATGGGGGTGGGGGGCCAATATAACACTTAAATTATGGCTGGGGGTGTGTGGGGTGCTCCACATTAATGGAGCATATAAAAATATGTAATGTATTATTCTAAAAAATATTTCAACATTATTAAATATCAACTTAAAGATACATTTATTTCCAAAAAAAAAGTGAAAATGAATAATGAACTTACAGCAACATAGTAATCCTTGAGGAAAAGGCCATAAAAGAACCACATAACAGCATTCACCGTTAAAGTTAAAGACAAGAAAAATGGCATATATTCGACGCTCTTAGTCCTTATCACATTTTTCTGCATGAAATAATCATAATAATTAAATTAAAAAATTTCTTTAATATTTTGGATTTTTGTCGCGTATAAATACTCATAATTATGTGTGTAATTTTCTAATGATTATTATCGAAAACAAAATTAATTTTATATATTTTAACTCTTACAACGACGAGGAGAGGTGCGGCAAAAACACTTATGTTAAAAACAAGAGAAATCCATCCAATGATAGTAAGACGTTTTGCACCCTTTGAGAGATAATGAGTTGATAGAAGCATGGCTCCAAATCCAAACACATCCAGCAAGAGAAACATTTTTATGGTAGAAATCTAGAAGAAAAGAAAAAGTATTATAACAATTTAAATATTATATAGTAAAATTTCTTTTAATAATTATGTATGAGATTAATTAATTAAATAAATATATGTATACCCTAGATTTCTTTGGGGCATATATAAGGAAAGCTACAAGGTAAACTGATTCAATAACAATTCCAAAACTGTTAATGGTGATGAGAAGAAGAACAGATTCTCTTTTGACAAATGCATAGTAAATCCAAAGCATAGCACTGAAAAGTGAAACAATATATGGCAGTGATTGAAATCCTTCAGCAGATTTCTTCTTGAAGATTATGTAAAAAGTTGGTCTGCACACACAAATTTTTTATATGTTTAAGAAATTGTTATTTCAAAAGCTTTGATTAATTAATTTACAAGATAACAAAAACGGTTACTTACAATGGTGAAAGGAACACTGCAAAGGAAATGATGTTGCCTGTAAAAATAATGATAAATATTAGGTTACATATAACAGCTTTTTTTTCATCCTAAGTGTATTTTTATTTCTTCAGTTAATATTGCATGATTGAAAATCATAAACTTCAAGATTTTCTGGACAAAAAATAATAATATGTTGTATGATTAACAATCATATAATATGCATGGATTATGGATAAGATATAGTATCTACCTAGAAGGCCAAAGACAAAAGCCCAAGAAGATTCACGAATATGCATAGCTATTTTTTGAATCTAAATAGAAATTTTGGAAATTTTTGGAATAATTTTAAGAATATGTGTCTCTTTCTCTCTATTAACTTTTTAAATAAATCTCGGACGATTTAGGTTGGTATGTGTTTTGGGAAGGAAGATTATTTATAGAGAATAAAATGAAAAGCATTGTAGGAGATATTTTAGCTTCACTTATTACCAACAAGTTGGGTATGTTAAATTTGTCATCACTTTTACGTGAGATCACACACGTTTTAAAATCTCACTTTTTAATATATCTGTTTGGCCTAGCTCTATATTTTTTGTGAGTTATTACGACACAAAATTAATTAAAATATCTAAATTAAAAAAGTATAGTGTCTCCGACTAGCATTCTATCCCGTCCTCCTTTTTTAAAGACTGATCAAAATTTTAAATCTACACTCTATATATGTCTCGTTTCGATTAATTTTTGTATGAAATATTTATTCAGCAGATATAAACTGAACTAACATGCTTGTTCACTGATTTTATAAATTTATTTTTGTTTCAAAGTGAGTATGTTGGTTTATATTTGGTTATATTTATGTAAAATTCAAATAAACTAAAATTTGTAGTGTAAACTTAGTGTTTAATTCCATAAAATACAAATGCTAACATAAAATTAAATATTTTTTGCAGACAAAATAAATGTCAACATCCTCAAATATGATTGAACAAATATTATATAAATTTTGGATCATATTAACTTGTGTTTTTAGAGCCTATATTTATAATAAAAATTTCTCTTGAAAATAAAAAATAATTACAAAATTTTAATAAAATATTTAATTATTTAATATGAATTCTTAAATATTTTTCTTTTAATTTTACCTCTCTCATGTACCAAATTTTCATATAAAGTTGTAAGTAGGTCCTAAAGTAAATTGGTTCATGTGAGGTCACTTTTGTCGATACATGGTAAAAGCAAGAGAATAGGTGCTTCTGGATATTAGTTGTTTAAGGAAAAAAATCTAAAATTCTTTATTTCTAAGAATGTTTTATCTCTAGCTAAAATGCTTTCTTTTTAAAATGCTAGAATTCAGTTAATGTATCTTGCAGTTATTATATGATAGCATGTATATGCTGCTAAAAATTTATTTGGACCTTAACCTATAAGACTTCAATTTGCAAAGGATTAAAACTATTTGATGATAATAGTATTTATTAACAATTTTAAAATATGTTTTCATCCCAGAATATTTTCATCCTTACTACAAATATATATATATATATATATATATATATATATATATATATATATATATATATATATATATATATATATATATATATATATATATATATATATATATATATATATATATATATATATATATATATTGAAATACTTAATTAAGATTACAAATCTGTGTTTTAAAATTCGTGCTAAACTGACCGATCAAACTGGTTGAAATGAAAATTGAAAGAGTTACTAGTTTGATTTGATTGCTATAAGTTAAAATTAGTAAAAATTGAAGAATCATCGGTTTTAAAAAATCGACTGGATTTTTTTTCTCTAACAAAATGTCATTATTTTAATATTTTTTAAATAATAATATTTTAATAATTAAATTTATTAGACACTATATTTATTTTATTATTCAATTTATATTTACAATTAGACTTTTTTCAAAATTTATTTAGATTTTATCTTGTACTATTTTGTTGTGTCTGATGACTATGTTTAAAATTTTAATTTAAAAAATAAACTTGTGAAATTATGATATTTTAAAAAAAATTTTAAATATTTTAATTTTTTTTAGACATTGAATCATCTGGTTAAACAAATCTAATAACTATATATTTTGATATAATAACCTAATAATCCAATATAACTTATCCAATTTTTAAAGCATTGATTCCAATTATCTTATCTACTCAATTCTTGAGTCTTAACAACATTAAACACTATTGCAATAACTTTTACAATAAACAATTTAAAAATATAATACAAAATATATATTAATATTAAGCTTCTTATTTATTTGATACTAGAAAATTTTTATATTGAATACTCGTTTAGGTTTGCATAACACTACTCGGATATTCTATATTTTCATTTCTAGTGATTACAAACATATCCAGTTTCCTTACTATATTTTTTATGTTTTTTTTAATAAGAGGAAAAAGAAAAGAAAAGAAAAATTAAAAAACAGTGTCTCACTGACGTCTTTTAGTAGGAGAGTTATGATTCTTATAGGAGATTTTATAAAAGACCATTCAATCTCATGTTTTGTTAGATAGTCAGCACAAACATTCTCTTTCATAAGAGTATCAATATTTGAATTCGACATTCTCTAATGAGAAGCTCTTTAATATTATGGAGAATCGCGATATAGTGATGTCAAATATTAATAGACTCCGAGTTAAGCTTGATAATAGAGTTGGAGTCAGAATATCACATCAAGTCTTTGATGCCAAATTCTCAGGCCATACGTGTTATACTCTAATTTTTGCTCCTAAGATCCTTCATCATTATATTGCATCCTTACAATGCATCAAGATCACAAGGGTTGCCTCTCACCCTTTGCTCTCTCTTCTCTAAGTTTTTCCTTGAGAGATCCTCAAACACCCTATTTGTGTATCTTGTGCATACTTGTTTTGTGTTTAATAATCTCTAACTAAAATTCAAAAAGATGTCTTTGCTTCCTTTTATACTTTGTACATTGTAGGTGTTTAGCCAAGTGCATCTATCTCACCTCCTAAGCTAGGATTTTGAAGATTGAACCTCAGCCAATTGATCATCCATTGAACCTCAAAGGCTTGAACTTTAAAGCTATGCTTCCAGCATCAAATTTCTATGGCTTGAGAACCCTCTCAACTTCATGTGATCAAGTTTATCTCAGAGTTAGTGGTTTGATTCATCAAGAAACTTCATAGGTTTAGGTGTTTATTTTCGTACTTTCTTCAACAAGTTTCATCAAGCTATGAGCCTCATTATCAAGTGTGCTTCAAGATAACATCATTTCAAGGTCCTATATACTTCATCATGCCTTGTATTGCAAGCAAAGTTCAAAGGAATCAAAGTTGATTCAAGTTGTTTGACCTAATTTGACAAGTTCTTGATTCTATGGTCACAAGAATATAACTCACTTAATTTTAACCATTTTAAAGTGATTCTTTTTGCATTGGACTCTTCTCATAATTCCCAACAACTTCCATTTACATGACAAGAGCCAATTATGCTTGGAGAATCATCAAAAGTTTGGAGAGGTTATAAGTCTTTTAAGAAATTAGTGAAATTCTTGACCTAACTTCCCAAGACCATAATTTGCTCATTTTTTTGTGATTTTGAGATGATATAAATACAATATTTATCTTCAAAGAGTCCTCTTTAACTTCTCTTCAAGGACCTAAGGCCAATTATGGATGGAAGGTTATGTATTTTTTGAAAAGATTATAGGTCATCTATGGAGTTTTACAAGTGATTTTCACCAACTTCAAAGGACCATGACTTCTTCAACTTTTTAATATTTTTTAATTATCTCAATACCATATTTCTCTTCAAGGAGTCTACTTCAATTCATCTTCGAAGATCAATACCTAAAAATTCTTGGAAGATCATGTATGTTTGAGAAAGATTCTAGGTCATCTTGAAGCTCCATACTTAGAAATTTTTCTAAGTATAAAAATCAATTGGTTTTCACCATTTGTCAAGAGGCATAACTTTCAGTTCAAATATCCAAATCCATAATTTTTAGCATATTGGAAAGCTTGTGGAAAGGTCTTTCCATTGCAACAAGAGTGGTGGCAAAAAAGCTTCCGACATTGCTTGCCCCATGGTTTTGAAGTTGGCACCTTGAAGTTGAAATTTCCACTTGCAGTCAGAGTTACATTTGATTAATGTGCCTAATAATTAAATTAAGGCTCGAATTTCACTTAAACATGTTTAACAAAGTTTCTTGAAAAGAGTTGAGTGCCAAAAATCATGAATTACTTGAGTTTTGATGAGGTGGAGGTCACATTTTTACCATATTGCAGGTGCACACGAATTCCACCAATACTTGATCATTTCTCTCATCCAATGCTCCCATCATGCTCAGCTATAAATAGGGACCCTCCCTCACTCGTTACACAAGCTTGAAGAGCCAAAATCACCCTTCCAAAACTCTCTCTCAAAGCTTATTTTTCCTCATATCGGTTTCATACTTAGAGCTCTTTTCAACCTTTTTTCTTTGATCAATCAGCTTCTTCAACCTTCCCTGAAGCTATTCCAGTCAATTGTAAGTCTTGGGGTGCCTTAATTTGTTCCATCCAAGTTGATTTTCAGAGCTTCGAAAGTGAATTTCAACAGGTAGATTCCTTCACTTTTTGGAAAATTCTGTGTGTAGACTTGTAATCCTTTCATTCTTGAAGCTCGTGCTTCTTCTAGTTTTCAAAATGATTGAGAAATAAGCATTTAATCTTGATTTGAAGTTTGTTGATATTCTGATTTTCTTAAAATAACTCCTTCGTCTTTGAGTTTTAATTCAAGTGATTTATATGGTTTTAATGGCGATGAAGAGGCGAGTAAAATGATACAAATCTGAGCCATTTTTGTTACCTTCGATTTGTTCCATTTTTACAGTGGCTGGAGGTTGAAGATGATGTGCTGACATCATCCGACCAATGAGAACATGCCATAGTTGTGTTTACTGTGCGTTTGAACTTTGCTTGATCTAATGCATTTTGTTGACTCGGTTCCACTATGTGTTGGATCATTTGATCCACTTGATCTGCCACCTCAATTAATGAGGGAGATCAAGTGGTCCATGTTATTTTTGATAGTTTTTATTTTTAATTAATGAGTATGTGTTATTATTTACCTAAATTTCATGTGCACTTTGAATATTGATCACTGGATCTGATTACTTTTCATTAGTCAGATTCATCCAACGCACCACATTATTTAGGCTTTTATTTTATTTTCAGTTTTTTGTTTTAATTGTTTTAAACTTCAAAAAATCATAGAGACTTCATTTTTAGTCCAAAAATTATGAAAAATT